AATGAGCGGAGGGTGCGGAGCTAACGGTCATTTTTGAATTTAAAATTGGGATATTTCTGAAACTAAGCCGTTTTGGGACTTCAAATATACCAAGATATGTGTATTTGACACCAAATATCAATAAAATTGTGAAAATAGTAGTGCAATTCGTTTTATAGCGACGCAGTATGCCTTAAACATTTCCCAGACCTATATATTTTGAGACTATCCTTTTAATACTGCGTCCCCAGCATTCATAAAAAATGGTGTTCAAGATACACTACCCATGCAAATTATTTTTGCATCTTGGAAGCCAGGCAGTATCTGTGTGATTTTATAAAAATTCGGAAATGTTCTTCAGATATGAGGCCCTCTAAATATTGGGTGCGGAGCTACGTTTATGGAGCTGCTCCGCACCCAATATTTAGAGGGGGCTCATATCTGAAAAAATTTCCGAATTTTTATAAAATCACACAGATACTGCCTGGCTTCCAAGATGCAAAAATAATTTGTATAGATAGTGCACCTTGAACACCATTTTTTATGAATGCTGGGGACTCAGTATTAAAATGATAATTTTAAAATATATAGGTCTGGGAAAGGTTTAAGGCACACTGCGTCGCTATAGAATGAATTGCGCTACTATTTTCACAATTGTATTGATATTTGGTGTCAAATACACATATCTTGGTGTATTTGAAGTCCCAAAACGGCTTAGTTTCAGAAATATCCCAAATTTAAATTCAAAAATAACCGTTAGCTCCGCACCCTCCGCTCATTTGCTCCGCACCCAATATTTCCCACAGGCTCTGTCTGCATAGGGTGTGTCTTATCTTAACACGTTTGACATGCGCTTTGTACAGAAGGCTAGATAGTTAATGATACGACCAATGTAAATAATTAATGTAGAATAATACCGAATCAAAAGGGATGGAACAGCTTTAATTCCAAAAGCTTGTGTCATTAGTATTATTGTTTTGTCAGACTTGATTAAAAACTGTGTTAACATTCACATTTTTTCTCACTCATCAATGTAATGTCTCCCGTTGGACATGAGATGACATCCCACAAACATGGTTCACAAACTCCAGGCTACATAGGTTACATTAAACGTATCAATACAAGCAGATAAAGTAAGAATGAGATTTTAATGGTCTCCGATATGCTCAGAATGCATCAGAGAGCGTGTAAATTTGGATGTATGGAAAATACCGACCACTCCAACCACCAACTAAAGCCTCGGGGTTTGAAAAGAAACTGTGAAAGACCAACCTGTCGGTGGTCAGATGGTAAAAACGCGGCAACGGGACATTTTAATTTGGCATACACTTCCTTCCAAAAAGCCAGGGGTGTGCATCGGTTGCACCTGCAACCTGCTTGAGTATTGCATCGTCTCTTTTTAAAAAAGTTGACTCGTCGTTAATAATTATTATTTGACTTACCGTGAATATTTTACCTCCAATTTTATTTTATTTACATGATATAGGGTTGAATGTCACTACTGATTAACACAGGCTGGTATCGAAAGATTTGTCTTCATGATTTATTTTTTAACTCAAATATTTAGTTCTGTCAAATAAAATAACTTACTCCATGTAATGGATATATCATTTGCGGGTAACCTTCACTTCTGTTTGAAATGCAATAAAGCTAGGAGTAAGCTATTGAAAAAGGCGCCAGAGGATCATACTCCAAAATGTGCCATTTCTTTTTTAACTTTTTAATGGCATAACTCTGAATGTGTTATGAGATATTGATGTATTGGGCCTTTTTAATTTTTTTATAAAAAATAATGTTTACATTTTTTGTCCGCTGTGACGGAGCAGTTTCACAGTTCACATTTGCAACTGCTCCGTCACAGCGGACATAAACTTAAACATTATTTCTTATAAAAGAATAAAAATGACTCAATGCATCAACCATCTTATTAATACATTCAAACTTATGCTGAAAACATGCAAATATTATCGTGTCACTACATCGTGCCATTAAAAAGTTAAACAAGAAATGGTACATTTTGGAGTATGATACTTCGGCGCCACTTTCAATAGTTTTTCCTCTCAGCGTTATTGGACTTCAAACGTTGTGAAAGTTACCCGCAAATTGCATGGAGTAAGTAATTTTCTTTGGTATAACAAAACATATGAGTTAAAAATAAATTGTGTGGTTTGCTTAGTGCTTTTTTGAAAAATAACATGCTCCGTCATGCAACTGACACATCTTTCGATATATAATCTTTTATTGACTCTTAAGATGTCATGTTCTGACATATTAGTCATTACAAAATAAAAACAGTGTACTACACTACACTACACTACACTACACTACACTAAGTCTAAGCTATTATAATACAGACAATTTATACAAAGAAACGTTATTTACATATGTTACAATATACTTTGTGTGTGATGCACCCAAAATGCTAATCTCCATGCAAGTTTAGTTTAAGTTTTTGAATGATTTTGTGATAAAACTTCCAACTTGTGATTAATGCCCAAAATCTATTGAAATATGTGAGACTATAGAATCACGCCCGGTGATCGGGAAAATCGGATGGAGTGGGAGCAGACAATTTCTAATGGAAATGAATGAATAGGCACACGGTATGGTAAAACATGTTAAACAACTTTACACAGATTCTTGTATTTGAAAAACGAACTCATTAACTCAGTAAGAAACTGGATTTTACACCTCTGAAGAATGAAAAATGGGGAAATATGGAGTTATAGGACTTAAAGTCAAGTAACATCTCTTATCATGTCTGATATACATATTACTCCCTCTCCGCCCCCTCCCCCTCCGTCCCATTTTCAATTATTTCTTATAAAACGTTTGGAAACTTATTTTATAATGTCAGCAAAGACGTCATTAATTTAGTTATGATACTTGATAACGTTACTTACACAATTATATTTATTACAGGTCGTGCAGACCATTGCTGCTTGATTTATATAGCAAAAACATTTACTTTTGCACGTTGGTGGCCTTTTAATAGATCTCATATCTCAGAAGCGTATCGTTTCAGAAAAGATCCAAGAAGACCTAACATATTTTACCATAAAAAATAAAAAATAAATCAATCTTCCACATTTGTTGATTTTCCTCCCTCCATAAGGCATTTTTACAATTACCAGGTGTGAGAATGTTTCGTTTTTGTGAACTTCCAGTTCTGGCATTGCGAGAATTAAAGTTGACAATGATAGTGCATTGCGCATCATTTCAAAATTTGCGCAAGGAATTTAATTATCCCATTTTAAATCCCAGAATTGCCTTCTTAATTTTAAGCCAAAACTTTGAGTATTAGGGGCCAAAATTATTTTTCTGACTTGAAATGTGGGCCCCGCGCGCTACCGGCCAGTGATACGTGAAAGACTAGACCTATTTGCCTCACTCATCCTTTGCCTCACTTTTGATTTCGCCTAATTAATTGAAAGAAAAATTTGCCTCACTGATTGATCTGAAAATTGCCTCAATGTCTATGCATGGGCTCATCCATGAGCCCATGGTCTATGTCTATGTCAATAATCTGCAAAAGGCTAATAAGCCCATATAAGGCAGATATATAATTTAACATGCACCCCCTTGAGAAATCCTAGCTATGCCACTGTATATTACGTGTCAAACAAAATAAAAGTGTATTAGGGCAAATTTACGATAATTGATATTTTCAAAATCAGTTGTTTTACTGAAGCCTGTGCTGTGTGTGTTGCTACCAGATACATTTGATGTGCGCTATTTCAAAGTCATCACAACTAGTTATCATAATCATGCGATGTATACTGAAAACATTGCTTATTATTTCTCAAAAACAGCTTAAATGATGATTTTTTGTCAAAAAACAAAGTTTTGTTTTGTTTGTGGTGATACAAAACCGGATTACAGCACATACAGAGCATCGATTGCATTGATATTTTTCATACTACATGAAAAATATGTTTGACATCAGGTCTGAAAAGGGCGATGTTAGATGTGTGTTACCCATGCAATGAAATGCTTTTTCTATGCACATACCATTTGTCTAATATTTTGTATCCTCCAACACACTGTTTAAATTAACATTGCTGATGCATCATTTGTTTGAGATTTCGCCAGAAAGTGCCCTTCAGGGTTACCTATTAAATGACAGACAATGAAAACATCAGACAAAATATTGTTGTTTTTGTGGTGGATTTAGGTTCTCCTGTCCAATATTTTGTATCCTCCAAACATTAAGATTTAATTAATGCACATTACTTATTTCAAACAATTATTTTCAGAAATTAGACTAATTCAATGTAGTATTTAAATGATTGATATATAAATTTTCAATCAATTCGAATTTTTTAGTAAATTGAATATGTTGAGTATGTGTTGGAGGATACAAAACATATGGACATTATAAAACGTGTTCGTTTTTAATGAGTAAGCTACGACATATCAAACAACCTCTTTTGAGAGATGGTGAGAAACATATTTTATTAACCAGTTAGAAATCATCGACGGACTTGATGCATAATCTGTTATGTTGTCCGAGTTTCCATAGCAAAATTTGATTTTTGGCCAAAAAAATCAACATTAAAGCTGTTTTTAAGAAATAATAAGCAATATTTTCAATATATATTGCATGGTCATGGTAAACAGTTGTGTTGAAAGCACAATAGCACATATATAGTGTCGTTGATCTCAATACACATGGCGCAGGATGCGGTAGAATAGCAGAATTCATGGAATTTAAAAATATCAATTATCGTAAATTTGCCCATTAGCTCTTCATAATTTAAAACATTTAGGCGAAACAATTATTAGTCAGCACCACAGACACAGGAACAAGAGTTTATCCCCCTCTCACTCACTATGTTAGTCTCAGGATCTAGGTAGAAAAAAGACTGTATTTTCTACATTATACAGTGACTGTGGGGGGGGGGGGAGATTTAAATCTTCCTGGGCCTGTGGTCAGCACACGGCGTGTTCAACACAACAGAATCGTTAATTCCCGGGGAAATGATCTTTCGTTCGGTGTATAAAAGACGGAAGTCGTGCGATAAGTTTGGAAAATCAAAACATGTAAAAGTAAGTACATATGACTGCCTATGTCTTTGTTAATAATCCTCAAACGGCTAATAATCCCATTTAAACAGATACGAAAAAGCATGGAAAATTTGTCGAAGAGAGAGCCTTTTTAAGGTACAGCTGGAACATAGGGCAAGGGAAAAGTAGAGTAAGCTGTATAGAATAGTTCAGCGTCGTTAAACTCAATAACGGCGTTCTTTACTATTAGGAATTTTCTTAGGGCCGTTATTGAGTTTAACCTCTTTACTATTCTTTCCTTTGATGCAAGTTCTGGATCCATCAAAACCATTTTTTCGCGATAACATGCAATTGATACTTGACAATAACATAAAAACACATAACATCAAGCGATTTAACACGATATTATTGTGTTAAATGTTCATTTATACTCGTAAATGAGGCTACACTTACCGATCTCTAAAATGACATTTCCGCATGTCCGTCATTGTGTCTGTTCGTCCGAGTGTCCCGGATCGTAAAATTAAACTACTAGCGAAACAAAATTGTTGTCAAATAGATTGATAATTATTATCGCGATTACTTGCATTAAAAGATAAATTTTGAGGATAACAGGTATCTTTGATTGATTTATATAGCGCGTGTATACACGCAAAATAGTTATTAATTGCAAATCTACTGTTTGTAAATGAAGTGCCGCAATGACGGTTAATTTCTGATACGATTTGCAATTTCGATGTTACCGAAACCATGGGCTTTTGAAAGCCCATGCCGAAACTGACCGACATTTTCGTTATATTCCAAACCTGTCTCCAATATTTTCGTAATTATGCATCAATAGGTTCTAAGGGGGATACGGGATGGTGTGTATGTATTCATAAGGTATGTATGCATGCGTCAATCACATTCTTTGTGTAATATTACCATGGTTTCAGGGTTTAATTAGTTCCGCTTGTCGAAACCTGCGGAACGATTAAATTAACGCATCAAGGGCAAAATGATCATGGAGGTTAGACCTAGCCGGGGCCATAAGACATGTCAGATAAGAAACAAGGCCCAGGCTAGGTCTAATGTTGTTGGACTATATATAGAAGAGCTCTTCTTTATACGGCTTACTATTACTTTACCCTTGGCCTGTGAGCTGGAAAGTAACATTTTGTATATCCAATTTTGCGGTCACGGAAAGAAAGTTGCCATACCCACGCGGTTATCGCATCCTACGACTCCTTTAGATTGTGGTTGTACGCGCGTATAATTGATCAGTCAATATTTTTACAAAGTTGGAGAAAATACTACGCATTGCACACCTAAATGACCTACCTCGATACATTCCTTAGTATTCTAGAATTCTTTTGTTGTTGTTCTTTTTATGTTGTTAGATCGCCAATTGTGTGGGTTTATCGGCAGAACGAAGAGATTTTAGTTTTTACATCGGAAATATATCAGCAATTTTCAAAATGTCGGAAGGGGAATTCCCCAGGGATTTCCCTTATGACTGGTGCATGCCGGGAACTGAATGGAGGAATTTGACGGTTGAAATAAGTTAAATATTACACGCAAATATTGCTATCAAAAACGAAAACCTCTTCGTTCTGCCGATAAACCCATACAATTGGCGATTCAACTACATAAAAGGTCATTTAGGTGTGCAATGCGTAGTATTTTCTCCAACTTTGTAAAAACATTGACTGACCAATTATACGCGCGTACGACCACAATCTAAAGGGGTCGTAGGATGCGATAACCCGAGCGGTACTAACTCTCCGGGGCGTATCGAAACCAAAACGCCCCGCAAAAAATCACAATCATCGATTTTCCAAAGACAGGGTAGACAGTGGCGTAACCAGGATTTTGATTTCAGGTAAGCGAGGCCGAAGGCCGAGCAAAACTAGGGGGTCAGGGGCATGCCCCCCGGAAATTTTTTGATTTTAGACCTTACATGGAGCGTTCTAAGCGATATCAGAATGTGTAATTGGGCACTATTTATTATTTATTGTGTACATTGTTTTGCTTTATTTTGTTTTACCTTTTTTGCACCATCATTTTGGGTACGCACCTGCGTACCCTCGCCTATGCCTGGTTATGTCCCTGGTAGATTTGAAATTCAAATTAACGGTTTTGGGGGGCGTTTTGGTTTCGATACACCCCGGTGAGTTAGGGGTTTGTAGAAAAAACCAGGTACTGGGTAATAAATCCTCCATGCTGGGTTCAAACTTTGTACCCGGTCGAAAAAAACGGGTACCCAAAAAACGAAAAATACAATTATATAAGTTTAAGATTTGTTTTGAATTTACAAAAATGTATGAACACACGGTCCTAGCTTCGACCGTTAATTTGAATTTTTGACCTACCGGATGTTTGAAAATCAAGGATTACGAGTCTCATACTGCACCGTTTTTCTTCAAACTTGTTCCATTCAAAGCATAACACAAATCCCTTTCTCATGGCACATTATTCTCTTCAACAGAGTCCCTACTTCCAGCGGCATTTTGGTCCCCAGCTGTAAGAAGGCCTTCTAACAGCTGGGGACCAAAACGCTGCTAGAGCGAGGGACTCTTTACAATAAAGTAATGCACCGACAGAAAGGCAATTTTGTTCTGCTTTTAATGGTATAAGTTTGAAGAAAAACGGTGCACTATGAGACTCGCAATCCTTGATTTTCAAGCACCTGGTAGGTCAAAAATTCAAATTGACGGTCGAAGTTAAGACCGCGTGATGTAACTTCCTTCAAAATTGCCAAGTTTGAACCCAGCATGGAGGATTTACTACCCCGTACCAGGTTTTTTCTACAAACCCGGTGAATTAGTTCCGCGTGATACCTGCACATGTTATTTTCTGTTACAAAATAAAGTATGAAGGCATGTGTCAATTTCCTTGCTTTTTCAGGAAAGTCTCATTACATTGTCTTCTCTTTTAGAACATCTGGTAGGAGTTCAATTGGAACTCCAGGAAATTCTGATATTTCACACTTTCTATTTTCCAAATTTTCTTTCAAAGTTTCCAACATAGGAGCTACCATTGACCTGTTTCCAGGTTTACTAAAAGGAGACAGTGTAATGATACTTTCCTGAAAAAAGCAAGGAAATACACACATGCCTTCATACTTAATTTTGTACCAGAAAATAACATGTGCAGGTATCACGCGGAACTAATTCACCGGGTTTGTAGAAAAAACCTGGTACGGGGTAGTAAATCCTCCATGCTGGGTTCAAACTTGGCAATTTTGAAGGAAGTTACATCACGCGGTCTTAACTTCGACCGTCAATTTGAATTTTTGACCTATTTTTAGCGAGCGCGAAAAATTTGAGGTAATCAAAGTTTGGCAAAGGTGCTCAAACTTTGGCCAAAGGTGTTTAAAAGTTGGCCAAAGGTGTTCAAAATTTGGACAAAAGTGTTCAGATTTGGACTTAGGTGTCCAACATTTTGAAGTCACTCATATTAGGTGGTCCCAAGTTGACAGCCCTGCATTTATGACAATAGCGGAAGTAAATAATTAAAAAAAAATGAAGAGATATTTCTAAATATATTAATAATACATGAAGATTGGGAGTAATGGTGTTGACTTGGTGTTATTAGCACTGGTTAAAAGATGTAGGGCTACAGTGCATATTTTAGCTATTTAGGGCAATTGTGCGATAATTAGGACCATGCGATAATTAGGACCGTTTCCCCTACTATTCTGTGAAAATTTTTTCTTTTTTTTTTCCTTTTTTTATTCTTCTTTATTCAATTTTAGTACATACAAATTACACATGTAGTGACTGAAAAACATTGGTGGCAGTTCTGTGAAAATCAGTTGGCAAGGTGTTGGACAATTCATCCAAAACGTGGATTTTGTAGTTATATACCAATATTTCAGTGAATTTGCTCCCTTTTGTAAGTCTGAGAGGAAGTATACATGGAAACTTTCAATCTTGAGAGTAAATTGACATGGAAAAATGCTCATAAATTGGGTCTTTGGCGCGGCACATAGGTATTAAGAGGTTTACTGGAGTGAAACCGTACAGAAGTTTTCTTGGGAAATACCTCCTAAAGATAGCGCTAAGTGAGGAACAGCTTTTTGAACCAATTACAGTTTTTGGTGATTACTCAATAAAATTTGATAAAAAGTAGGACTTTGTCATTTTCAGGAAACTTTCTCATGTATAAAGTCAATGGCAGGTTTTGTGATTGACAAGTTTCTCAAAGTTTGCCTTACACTTGATCATTTCTTGCAATGAATTACAATATTACTAGATTAAAGCATTCCCTATATATTGCTCAATATATGTCAGCAACAAATTTTTACTGTTTTTGAGGTCCAAAAAACAGTAAAAATAAGTTATTTTTCAACTTGCTTTAATTTGACCATATTTTTCTTGAAAATCATCTACAAGTTGCCAGGAGTTCAAATCTGACATTAGTTTAAGATTTGACCTTTACTTGACCTTCATCGAACTTTAAAAGGTCAAAAAGTTGATTTTTCAAATTGATTTTTTGATGTAAATTTCGGTCAGCTTAATCACAAAAGACCTTACTGAGCTCTGAATAAGTAAAATTTTCAAGGTCAAAGGTCATCAAACTAGGTCAGACAGCTGTGCTATCTAAGTGTCTCAAAGTTCGAGACTACAAATCCAAATCAATATTTTTGTCTGAAAGTCAGGATATACATTCCTCTGAAGGTTCCAAACTGTGTGAGCACAGGACCGTGGGACCTTTATTGAATATAACATGTTGTTGTGATGTTTTAATCGATGTTAACATATCCTTTACATTTTTCTTTATTTTGATATGAAATAACAAGCTATGATATTGGTTAACATGCCAGAGATTGAAATAATATTATTCGAAGCGTTATTAGAAAATTCGAAAATTTTGAACCGCCATATTTGTTTACCGAATTGGACCAATCAGGATGGTATGTCATCTCAATACTAGTGGAACAAGTAAGTTTTTCAAACATTGTGCTGTTTATTCAGTAGTACGAGGCTCAATTATGACCAATATTATTATGATAGTAGAGATATCGAACTTTCAAAACCGGAAGTGAAATTATATACATTTTTTTCAAGAAGCCTACCTCACTTTTGCTGTCTTTAGGAGGTATTTCCTAATAAAAATTCTGAGTAAGCTGTATATAGTAGAAACTTACCATTACTTTTCCCTTGACCTATGGGAAGAAGGTTGTATAGAACTATCAAAGTGTTTTTGACACCTTTTCGAGGCCTTAATTCAGCATGTTGCCGTGTGTGTATAATACATTTCATTACTTATACATTTAGAGTAGATATTCATCTTTCATTCCATATGAAGAAAATGTAAATTTATAAAATATGGACGGAGTGGGAGCTGTTACAATGACCTCTATTTTTATAAATTTTCAGGATGTTTCTTCCAGTGATGAGGGGCCCACCCTAAATCACATACAATAACATTACCATTTTTGGGGTTATTACTTGAAAGCATAATGCATTTTTATTATCATATATTAATATTAATATGACGAATCGATTGCAATATGACAGAACTCTTATTATACCTTAGTTAGCGTTCATTTTGTATATAAATGTAAAATAATTTGGGGAATCCACTAAGAGTTGGGAGGTTTCTCCAAATATATCTTTGTTACGGAAATGATGTCATATTATATTGGATTTCCATAAGAGCGGGCTACGATATTACGTCATCAATATACGTTGGATGATATGGTTATGATATGATTAGATGACATTCATTGAGACATTTGTTTTGGAGGATTCCTGACAACGGCCAAACACTTTCACCTTCGTTATTAGAGCACTTTGACATTCAATTGAAAATTGAAGGTGCATTTGTTAGATTTAATTAATTAAAAGGAATCTATCTGATGATTATCCTCATTTTCTAAGGCCTAGATAGTTATATACATCCTTTCACCTTTACCATGCTGCCTTATTTCAGCAAATATATCCCACGCAACTGGCTTATTTTTCAAAGAGTGCAAAAAATGATATACCTGGACTAAATAATTAATATCTCAATAACTACTGAATGAATCTGGATAAAATTTTCACAAAGGGAAGATACAGTGGCCTGGCTCATGAAAAAAATGTTCTCATGAATTTTTTCGTACATTAACACGACTGGGCATAAATATACCATGAATACTCCTCCGGAATCCGCCGCTCCGCCTCTTCGTCTGGTCAGAATCCAAATCTGAATTTGCAGCGATCGAATGTTCAATTTTTCAATTCAGAAAATATTCTAGTTTCTAATTTCGATGACCGTTATCGGCTTCCAAGAGCCTAAAGAGCTCGAAATCGTAATCCATTTCCTCCACATTTTCGTTGTGATCGTATTTGTCCACCATTTTGTACGATTCGTTCACTAAAAACGACTAAAACACTGTTTAAATTGTTGAATTGAGAATTATTTTTCGAAATATCGCCATTTCTAGGTCAACAGGAAGTCATGTTAGGCACTGAATAAATCGGGCAATCTAATTGGACAATACGAATGGCGCGAAAAAGTAAAGTTTTTAAAAGTTTGAAATCGGGCGTACGGGTCCGCCGGCAGTTGTGAGAGACATTTTAGTCTCGGCGGACGAGTCCGCCGGCAGCACGCTAAAGGTTAAGGTCAGGTTGCACTTAAATGAAATTTCATGACCATGTGCTATTTTCAGATAAACATAACTCATTCCACACATCATCTACATTTTTCATTCTTGCACAAAAGATGCAATACTTAAGTGTACCCAGACTATTAATTGAGGGAACTTGATAATTCTTCAGAATGTTTGAATAACTAGAATATTCATTGGTTTACTTTTCAAAATTGCAAAAAATTCTAAAGTGCACTCTGTTATTAAATCCTTGGTGAACGGGAATTATTTTTCTACCATTTGGGAGAGTTTGAGACATAAAACTTAGACTTTAACTCATAGTGACAACTTCTGATGGATGAGGTAAGAACCTCTATACCTTATTCATTGACCCTGAAAACATGGCTTAAGACAGAACAATTATGATGCTATCAACTAACTTTTTTGATCCAGTTAAATCACTTCAGAAAACCCTTATCATCATAAACTAACCATAAAACACTTATTTATTTTTGTAAAACATACTACATAGTAAGGGATAAATTGGTAAAAGAAGGATCTTCGTGAAGAATTCAACTGATAGCCAGTGGGTACGCTGGCAAATTCCAATTTTCGTTGTTGAACTTGGAAAGTAGAAATGTAGACTAATGATTGGGGCTCGCCAGTCAAATTCCGTCCTTTTTTAGGGTTTTTTCAAGCACATATTTTCTTACCTTCTTGATTAAAGAGCAAACCACGAAAGGGAAAATTAAAATTTAAAGACACACATATGTATCTTTTGTTGTTTACTTTCAGTATGGAACAGTACACGAATACGACCATAGCTACATTTACCATGACCACTATCCGTATAGCTGTAGTGGGCAATGCCACTGGGTAAGAAAATTTGATTGATTTACAGTTCATATAGTTTAGTGTATAAACAGCTGATTTATGTTATATACAGTGGCCCAGCTCGAAAACAGGGAAACATGCAGCTTCTTCGATAATTTTTTACACAAAATCTTACGTGAGTTTCTATTGAAGGCGTTCAAGCCCAGAACACAGAGATGGGATTGGAATATAGATAAATTTCAGGTAGGTCTGTACGCTCAGAAATTTTAATTGAGATTCTGTCATTTACCACCATAGCTGGTTTCCACCTACCCAGCCACCATGCAGGGTCTGATTTTAATTTTTCATTTCTCTAAACTTGGGCAACGTGTTGGGCTATTTTAGCATTGGATCTTTCAAAATAAGCAGACTTTTCAAACAACTTTGTACGTCAATGTCAAAAATTGACCCCCCCCATTGTGTTGTGGGTGCAGCAAAGTACAGAATCCTAATTAATGGCTTCCTTAATAGAGTCCCATGTTAGTTCCAGATACATATAACTAATTCCATATATGGTATACATCTTTCAGATACATATAACTAATTCCATATATGGTGTACATCTTTCAGATACATATAACTAATTCCATATATGGTGTACATCTTTCAGATACATATAACTAATTCCATATATGGTATACATCTTTCAGATACATATAACTAATTCCATATATGGTGTACATCTTTCAGATACATATAACTAATTCCATATATGGTGTACATCTTTCAGATACATATAACTAATTTCATATATGGTATACATCTTTCAGATACATATAACTAATTCCATATATGGTGTACATCTTTCAGATACATATAACTAATTCCATATATGGTATACATCTTTCAGATACATTTCCATATATTGTGTACATCTTTTAGTATTGGACAAAGAGTATTCTACATAAATGTACATGAATAATTTATTATTTAAGGGTTAAGGAATTTCTGTTTTATGAAAATTCAGTGACCTACTTTTTAAAAGCTCAAAAATGTAGGTCACTAAATTTTCCCTTGTTTTACATATATATTTTAAATATTAACTATTTTTACTTATGCTCAACTAATAATCAAGGTATATTCATGCACTCTTTGTGCAAAACTAAAAGATAATAGTCTATAAAGACCATGTATAAAATAGTAATGTATAGCTGAAAATAACAAAGGACTTGATTAGGAAATAACTGAACATTCAAAATTACTTTAATTTCCAGAGCCAGGACTTAGAATTTTTCAGATAGAGGTAAGCATCTCTGAGAAAAAATAGAAGTCTACTCCCGATATGGAGTTTTTCAGAAGCTGTCGATTTTGAAAAATAACATTGGGCCAGGAGTGTTATTCTTAATAAATGTTGTATATATTTACCTTGATGTGTTTCAACTGTTTCATTTTTAGCTCATTAATATTCAGTAATATGGATGCAGCATATATTTGAAATGTCTAAAATAAAAGAAATACAGTCCGTGAAAATGAACACTAATAAACAGAATTAATATTGCCAGAGTATGGACTTATATAATGCAATCCGTTGCAATACATACAGTGTACATATGTGTAGTGTTATGTTTTCAGTGCCGTAAAGGATGTTACACACAAATGACACAACCCATGGGGAATGAGACAATATGTCGGCGTATATGTGTGAGTATTACAATATATTAATCCATTTTGTCATTTTCATTTATTTTCTGTCATCCCTATAAGAGGCTCACTTACACAATTGTCATTACCAAACTTTTTGTTTACATTAACACCCTTCCCTGAAATATTGCTTATCAGAAGTTATTATAAACTCTTTTGGGATATCAAGGCCTGGGTTTTACAACAATGTGCTGAACAGGAAATACAAGGCAATATCATCCTTTTATCCCATGATACTACAATCATATTGTCCTGCCAAATCCGGCTCAAGAAAATGATATTTACCTCCGAGAAATTTTTGCCGAACAAAGCTTTCTTTTATGTTCAGTTGGGTCGATATAACGTGCTATAACGATGTCCATTTGTGAGAAACAATATTTTCAAACAAAATAGAGATTTTGAAACATAAAAAGTATGAAGATTGTTAGCCTATTAAACATAGTCAAATTGTAATTTCATCATCATGCTCTGACATGTTATAGAAGTGTTATAGAAATCTGAGCAATCTGCAAATGCCCTGTGATGGACATCTATATGTATTGTTAATTTTTTGATGTTGATGTGTTTATGTTATATAATAACATTTTTATATTTCAAAATGTAATAAAGTTAAGTCATATTTTTTTTAGACTAAATATAGTCTGGTTTGTTTCATACAAAAATCAGATATGGATTTTGAACTTGTGATTTTATGAAGAGGGATCATCATGGGATCAAAAGCATATTTACTGGTTGGAATTAAATATGGGTTTATTATCCCATCGAACGAAGTTCGGAGGGATATAGGGAACGCCTCCGTCCGTCCGTCCGACTCCGTCCGTCCGTCCGTCCGTCCCGGCAATAACTCAAATACCGTTGGCCCGATTTTGTTCATATTTTGTACACATATACCCTATGGGGGTAGAAGTTCTGCTCGAAAGCCAATTTTCAAAATGGCCGCTCATTTCAAAATGGCGGCCATTTTAGTGACGATTTTACAGTTATTTAGGTGCAATATGTAAAACTGTAATAGCAATATGTTTTAAATGTAAAAAAATTATAAAGGACATTAATAATGCTACAAATGTAGATATTAAAGAAGCACATGGCAGCCATCTTGAAAAATGGCGGCCTTTACTCGTCATTTTACGATTTTTGCTGTAACTCAAAAAGTAGTGGAGCGATTTTTTATGTCACCACCAAAAGTGGTGACATATTGTTATGGTCTCCGTTTTTTTGCGACGGCGTCCGGCGGTTGGAGGTTGGCGGTTGGCGTCCGGCGGTTGGCGTCCGGCGTCTGTAACAATTTCTTACAACTTCCTATAACTTAACAAATACTGTTTAGACTGACTTCAATTTTTTTCTAAATCATCTACATGTTCTCAGAAGTTCAAATCTGACTTTAGATTTGACATTTGACCTTCAATGACCTTCTCAAGGTCAAAAAGGTCTTTTTTCAACTTGCTTCACATTGACTAAATTTTTTTTCAAAATCATCTACATGTTCTCAGAAATTCAAATCTGACTTTAGATTTGACTTTAGATTTGACATTTGATCTTCAAATCTGACTTTAGATTTGACATTTGACCTTCAATGACCTTCTCAAGGTCAAAAAAGGTCAAAAAGGTCTGTTTTCAACTTGCTTCAAATTGACTAAAATTTTTTTTCAAAATCATCTACGTGTTCTCAGAAATTCAAATCTGACTTAAGATTTGACATTTGACCGTACCTACAATGACCTTCTCAAGGTCAAAAAAGGTCAAAAAGGTCTGTTTTCAACTTGCTTCAAATTGACTAAAAAAATTTTTCAAAATCATCTACGTGTTCTCAGGAATTCAAATCTGACTTTAGATTTGACTTAAGATTTGACATTTGACCTTCAATGACCTTCTCAAAGTCAAAAAAGGTCAAAAAGGTCTTTTTTCAACTTGCTTCAAATTGACTAAATTTTTTTTTCAAAATCATCTACATGTTCTCAGAAATTCAAATCTGACTTTAGATTTGACATTTGACCTTCAATGACCTTCTCAATGTCAAAAAAGGTCAAAAAGGTATTTTTTCATCTTGCTTCAAATTGACTAAATTTTTTTTTCAAAATCATCTACATGTTCTCAGAAATTCAAATATGACTTTACATTTGACTTTAGATTTGACATTTGACCTTCAATGACCTTCTCAAGGTCAAAAAAGGTCAAAAAGGTCTTTTTTCAACTTGCTTCAAATTGACTAATTTTTTTTTTCAAAATCATCTACATGTTCTCAGAAATTCAAATCTGACTTTAGATTTGACCTTTAATGACCTTCTCAAGGTCAAAAAAGGTCAAAAAGGTCTGGTTTCAACGTGCTTCAAATTGACCAAATTTTTTTTCCAAAATCATCTACATCTTTTCAGAAGTTCAAATTTGACTTTACAAGTTCTCAGAAGTTCAAATCTGACTTTAGATTTGACCTTTGACCTTCAATGACCTTCTCAAGGTCAAAAAGGTCTTTTTTCAACTTGCTTCAAATTGACTAATTTTTTTTTCAAAATCATCTACATGTTCTCAGAAGTTCAAATCTGACTTTAGATTTGACATTTGACCTTCAATGACATTTTCAAGGTCAAAAAGGTCTTTTTTCAACTTGCTTCAAATTGACTAAAATTTTTTTTCAAAATCATCTACGTGTTCTCAGAAATTCAAATCTGACTTAAGATTTGACATTTGACCGTACCTACAATGACCTTCTCAAGGTCAAAAAAGGTCAAAAAGGTCTGTTTTCAACTTGCTTCAAATTGACTAAAAAAATTTTTCAAAATCATCTACGTGTTCTCAGGAATTCAAATCTGACTTTAGATTTGACTTAAGATTTGACATTTGACCTTCAATGACCTTCTCAAAGTCAAAAAAGGTCAAAAAGGTCTTTTTTCAACTTGCTTCAAATTGACTAAATTTTTTTTTCAAAATCATCTACATGTTCTCAGAAATTCAAATCTGACTTTAGATTTGACATTTGACCTTCAATGACCTTCTCAATGTCAAAAAAGGTCAAAAAGGTATTTTTTCATCTTGCTTCAAATTGACTAAATTTTTTTTTCAAAATCATCTACATGTTCTCAGAAATTCAAATATGACTTTACATTTGACTTTAGATTTGACATTTGACCTTCAATGACCTTCTCAAGGTCAAAAAAGGTCAAAAAGGTCTTTTTTCAACTTGCTTCAAATTGACTAATTTTTTTTTTCAAAATCATCTACATGTTCTCAGAAATTCAAATCTGACTTTAGATTTGACCTTTAATGACCTTCTCAAGGTCAAAAAAGGTCAAAAAGGTCTGTTTTCAACTTGCTTCAAATTGACCAAATTTTTTTTCCAAAATCATCTACATCTTTTCAGAAGTTCAAATTTGACTTTACAAGTTCTCAGAAGTTCAAATCTGACTTTAGATTTGACCTTTGACCTTCAATGACCTTCTCAAGGTCAAAAAGGTCTTTTTTCAACTTGCTTCAAATTGACTAATTTTTTTTTCAAAATCATCTACATGTTCTCAGAAGTTCAAATCTGACTTTAGATTTGACATTTGACCTTCAATGACATTTTCAAGGTCAAAAAGGTCTTTTTTCAACTTGCTTCAAATTTACTTAATTTTTTTTTCAAAATCATCTACATGTTCTCAGAAGTTCAAATCTGACTTTACAATTGACCTTCAATGACCATCTCAATGTCAAAAAAAGTCAAAGAGGTATTTTTTCAACTTGCTTCAAATTGACAAATTTTTTTCAAAATCATCTACATGTTCTCAGAAGTTCAAATCAAACCTTCTTAAGGTCAAAAGGTATTTTCCAACTTGCTTTAAATTTACCAAATTGTTTTAGGTGGTGACATTTTGTCATGTTAATGCCTTGTTCATATTTGGTATGTGAATACTATAAGCATTGCACACTGTCTGAAGGCACTTTTGGTAGAAGGCGGCCATTTTTCAAAATGGCCGCCATTTTAACGTATTTTACTATAACTCGAAAAGTAGTGGAGCGATTTTGTTCATATTTGATATGTGAATACTTTAAGCATGGCACATTGTCTAATAAAACTTTAGGGAGTAGTCGGCCATTTTGAAAAATGGCCACCATTTTTATGTGTGTTATTTTTTTATGTGTGCGATTTTTCAAAAATTTTAGAGGTTGCTACTTAAAAGCATATTATTTCTTCTGATGACAACTTGGCTAGTGAGGAACCATTTTGAAAATGGTGGCCTTTCTGGTGTGTTGTTTTATGATATTTGCGCTTCGTTTGTAAAAATGCCAGCCATTTCTGTTCGATGGGATTCGCTACGCTTTGGCATTGCCGTTGTTCTGGTTCCTCTTGACAATATGATATTTCCCTCTGGGACCTCGGGAAATATATTGTCTGTGACAGTCTAAGTAGTTTTAAATCATCATACTATGCCTATGTCAATAACTGCAATTAGATAGGTGTGTTTTTAATATAGATCTATGTTTTAATGTAAAAGGTCCCCAGTGCACAGCAACAAGCCTGCACTACTGTTAAAGAAGGAAGATGTCAACGAGATGTTTAAATTATATTCTATTCAAATTCTATCACTGTTAAATTAAATATCTGCTTTATATGGGCTTATTAACCTTTTGCAGATTATTGACATAGACATAGACAACCCATATTGAATCCCTCCCAGTAAATAACCTCTATTATTCATTATTTATGACCTCAGAATATTTCAATTCAATTCAATTTGTTTATTTCATAAAAACACATACAATATACTATACAATGAATGGGTGACACAAGGGTTTGTGTATATTCCCAAGATTATGCCCTACATCTTAAACCTTCAAACAATGATTCATTTGGACATCACAAAGTGAAATAAATTAGTTGTTATCACTATGTACCTGTTAGGGTCAGTTCTATCATCAGTCAGGAAAGAACCAAGATAATACAGACTCAAAAGAATGTGTCTCAATTTAAGATACATTCTTTCAATAATATGAGTACATGTTTAGCCAAGTCTCTTGATCCCAAA